ACACACACACACACACACACACACACACACACACACACACACCCCAGCAAAACACTCATAAAATAAAAATAAATCTAGGTTAAAAATAATAATGTTTGGTTGGGTAGGGTGGCTTCCACCCTGTTTTTCTAGCACTGAGGCAGAAAAACTTCTATGAGTACCAGCACAGCCTAGGCTACAGTGACGTATATTGCTATCTTTTTGAATGCCCGAGTTTACAACATTACTGTGCATCTTAGAGAGATGATGTTTTATGGGATTAAACCACTTTGGACAGAACAGGCTCAAAGCCTAAGCAGGTGTATTTGAAAAGGGTTTAGAAGTCCATGCTTTCTGACGGATGAGAAGGTATCTCTTACACATATTTCCTCCCAGTGCTGGGAACTGAGCCTATGCCTCAGGCTCCATGTATAACTGTTTACTTAATGAATATTCAACCCATTAAACACCAGATTTACCTTCACTAGATCTTGTCTTTGGAAGAAAGGATCTTGAGTCGTCAAGTATTTGTAAGCAGACAAGTTCTATAGCTGTGTGTCCATATGAATGTCATAGCACCGGAAGCAGATAAATGTAACATCAAGCAAGCAAGCAGTTGATGGAAAAGAAACGTTGCAACAACATGGAAGAAATACAGCACAGGAGAGTGCTGGTAAGAAGGGACTTTGGGAGCCCATCCCACATGGAGGGATGCTCTCTCAGCCTGCACACACGGGGGAGGGCCTAGGCCCTGCCTAGGAGGATATGACAGACTCGGGGGAACCCTATGGAGGGCCTTACCCTCCCTGGGGAGCAGAAGGGAGAAATGATATTTAGTTCTTAGGGGTTTTTTTGTGGTGTTGGGGATGAGTGCAGGCTCTACCACACTGCTCATTCCTTTATTTAGACATGCTCCCCTGATGGCCTCGAACTCCTTCCCTGTTTATTCACTTATTGTTACATTCACAGATCTCCACGGAACCAGCAATGTTAAGCACCCAGGATTGTCCTTCCAAAGGGAAGGATATACAACCTGTTTTCCAGAAGGCTGAGAACTGTAGGTGACATCAGCCTTGTGATATCTGCTGGGCTAGGCCACCTCAAACCCCTACAACCAGGACCAGAGGTGGCTAGTAATTTATGTGACGCTTACATTACCTGTCCAGCCAGGGGTTCACCCGAGCTTCTGCAGCCAGAACCTGAGATGGCTGGTAGACAAAATGACCTCTGTGCCATCTATATGACCATCCCTAAGCCCCTGCATTAATATTGGCAGTCTACCTCTAGAACCCATCTTCTGGGAAGAAATAACATGTACCCTGAGTTGAGTTTCAATGTAACTATGCCTCCTCATCTACCAGGGTTTGTGTTACTACAGAAAAATTTTCCAAATTGTCCTGTCCTTAAATATACTGGCAACAGACCACTTGGACCAGACTCGTGAAGCTTGATCCAGGCTGGGCAACTAAGTCCTCATTCTCACCTCTTTGCAGATAATTTCCCTGCCTGGTATGACACCTGGAAGGACCCATTCATTCATTTGTTCATTCGTTCGTTCGTTCGTTCATTCATTCATTCATTCATTCATTCATTCATTCATTCATTCATTCATTCATGCTCCCCTTTTGGCATTCATTCATGCTCTCCTGTTGGCCGTGAGCTCCTGGACTCAGTTTCTAGGACTCTAGTTGTGTCCACTGTGCCTGGATCAGAATTTAGGTTTACGTTTTATAGATGAGGCTGTCATTCTGTAAGGTAAGAATTTTAAAGAACATCTAAAACATTTCAGTGATATTCCCCGATACCTGCTTCCTTCAGCTTTACTTTCCATTCTCTTTCATGTGTCTGGAAGTCAGAAACTTACCCAAGCAGACATGACCTGCAAATGATGTCCATGGCTCTTCCCCCCTCTCCAACCTGAGGATGACATCAGGTTTAGACGTGTCACACCCTGAGAAAAAGAAGTAACAGTGAGTAAGGAAGCTGGGGATGGAACTTAGTGAGGAGCACCCGCCTCACCCTCAGGAGCGTAGGTGTGGGGACATGAGAGGGAACATGTTCAACATGTAATCCCACTCGCACAGAGGCCTGAAAGATACTAAGATGTCTCTCACTCGCATAACAGTAAACTTAGCTCCTTCCACTAGGAGCTGAAGAGCAAACATCCCTCCTGCAAATCTAAAGGGTTTCTTGGCCTCTCTTACTGGAATTCGGGGGCACATCTACTTAGGCGCTCCGAGAGGACCCCCACACACAGCACACAGAGCATCGAGGCTTTCCATACCTACGGAGAGGAGGTGGCCATAGTTCTCCAACATGACATCCATATACAGAGTCTTCTGAGCCGAGTCTAGGTGCTGCCACTCCTCCTGACTAAAGTCCACCGTCACATCCTTGAATGACACGGATCCCTGCAGTGCGGAATTTGGAAGGGTGACTGGCACAGGTTATCTAGATATCAGGAATGACTCCTTTTGAAATATTTTTAAATTTTATTATTTATTTTTGTTTTTTTTTTGAGGCAGGGTTTCTCTGTAGCTTTGGAAGCTGCCCTGGAACTAGCTCTTCTGACCAGGCTGGTCTCGAACTCACAGAGATCTGCCTGCCTCTTCCTCCCGAGTGCTGGGACTAAAGGCATGTGCCACCAACGCCCGGCTTGAAATATTTTTTAAAGACTTATTATATGTATGGGTATTTTGCTTGCATGTATGTCTGTGCACATGTGTGCCTGGTCCCCTTGGAGGTTAGAAGATAGTGTCAGATTTCCAGCAACTGGAGTTACAGATAGTTATAAGACACCATGTGACCGGGCTTTGGTAGCACATGCCTTTAATCCTAGCACTCCGGAGGCAGAGGCAGGTGATCTCTGTGAGTTCGAGACCAGCCTGGTCTACTGAGCGAGTTCCAGGATAGGCTCCAAAGCTACACAGAGAAACCCTGTCTCGAAAAACCAAAAAAAAAAAAAAAAAAAGACACCATGTGGGTGCTGAACCTGGAACCCCTGGAAGAGTAACAAGTGTTTGAGCATCTCTCCAGTGCCGGGAACTCCTCTCATCCCTGTTTCTCTATGACAGTCATATAAACTTTGTAATAGAATGACTACTCTTTTCCTCGTTTTGATTTAAATTGTAACTGCACTCCCAAGATAACTCAGCAGGTAAAGGCACCTGTTGCCAAGCCTGATGGTGGGACCCACACGGTAAAAGGGGAGAACCAACTCCTGTAAGTTGCCCTGACATCCACACGAATGCCGTGGTATTCGCATGTTCGCATACATACAGACACAGGTTAACATTAAGAAAAAAATAAAACTGTAACTAAACTGTGACTTACTGTGAAGATGCTCTATGCCTGTAATGTGCACTTGTTTACTGGGAACCCGAATCTAACACATGTGCTCTCTGGTCGTGAACACAAGAAAGTACATATGAATATAAACCCACAGCCCACTGGAGTACACACATAAGGCACAGTGTCTCACAAGACAGAA